CTTTAGTATGACTACTAAAAATATAAAACATAAGAGACACATACTCTGACATCCACTGAGCAGCCCACAGTCCATGATGGATTTCCCAACACTTGATTTTGGCAGAGAAGATGGACTAGTGAAGATTTTCCAACACCTGGAAAAGATACAAGAACTATAGTAATATGAAAGACATACTGAAATCTCTATGTTCAAAGTAAGAATAAAAATATGCAGAAATAATGGTATTTAAAGCGCAGTATGTTTAAAGGTATGTTCAGATCATATCAACGATATATGCTTGAAATAAGAATGAAAGTGAAGATAGTTAAGGGCAGTGATCCTTTTCAATTAGCATCAAAATCAGAGAGCTGGATCCTGGTCCCAGGCTTTCCAATTTAGCATGTCTATAATAGCATCCAGGATTTTTAAATTTCTAACACGTTCTCAGGTGATATTGATGCTACTAGTTTGGGAGCTTCACTTTGAACCACTGGAGTAGGGCAATTTCATAATAACTAACCCCTTTCCTGGTAAATATTTGACTATCTACTCAGCCTATTTTAGGATTGCAGAATGTTAACAGATTTTAGAGGTAATCCATCTACCCTGTACACCCATGATGAGGTAGGGTCCCTTTCATGGCACCCTGTTACCCTGTTACTGAATGCTGTAAGTAAGCAGGACTTACCATCTAACAAATCCATTTTCAGGCACTCCAATTCTCCCAGTTAGTAATTTTTTAAAAGCAGCACAAATTTACCCTTTGAATCAAAAGAGCAACTCTAATTTCTTCTACATCATGGTCTTTTACTTTGAAGCAGCATTTTATCTCATTTTAGATCTCCTTCTGGTCTTAAGGCAATCTAATTATTAATGCTAAGGATGGCACTTGGGAGATCTGTATGAAGAAAGGGAATGAACACTCCCCTATACCTCTTTGGAGTCACTCATTCATTTAAAAGCACTTTGGGATTCCATTATGGCAGGTATAGTTGGGGAATCTTTATGAATCACTAGCTACCTCAATGATTTAGATAATCTCTGTGTGAATTATTATGTATAAATCCATCACTTATGTTTATTCCTTATATTGTGATGACATGCATGGTATACTTTAAAATAATACAAATATCATAAGCCTTTGCTTACAGAGCTTGCTCTACCACAAACAGCCTATCCATCCTCTCTCCTCTCCCACTGACCTGGTCAACTACTCTTTCAAGACTCAGGAACATTCTAAAAAGTATGACTCCATACAGGTGGAACTAAGCACACCATCCAATGCACTTCCACTCTACTCTGTATATTTTCCTATAGGGCACTTTAAACAGTTTTACTCTTAATTCTAGGTTTTATTCACTGTTTAAGTTCCTTGAGTGTTAGGGCTGGGTTTTACTCTTTTAAAATTTTTTTTTTTAAATCGACCGTACTCAGAACAGGGCCTTAATCAGTATTTATTGACTAAAAGTTTCTATGTGAATGGGTATGGTTGTATTATGTCTGTGATACATAAGTGCTCTTTAAGCATCAAACTGGGAGGCCAGCCTTAGCAGCTTAGCAAGACCCTGTATATTAATAAATAAAAAAATAAAAAGGGATAGAGCATCTCTGGGTTTAATCCCCATATCATGGTAGGGGACAATTTGCAAGTTGTTATAGAATCTTCATAAACATTTTAATATTTCCATTTTATATAGTAGATATAATGATTTATTTAACTATTCTATCATTATTATAGATTTAGTGTGTTTAAAAAATTTCACTACACTGAGTTTTTATTTCTATTTAAACATTTGTTTAAAATTATTTCCTTGGTATGTCTTCCAAGAACATCAACATATACAAGGGAAAAAAATTAAAAGTTCTTAATACATGTTGGCAAATTACTTTCATCTGATTACACTGTCACCAGTCACACATATGAACATGTGGCTATTTTTCTTTATCTTTGCTATTTTGATACGAGGAAAAAACCTGAGACTTGCTTTAGTCTGCTTTACTTTCTGGGAAAGATATAAATTATGATCATCTCTGTTCATCTTTCCCCTGCCCATTTATCTACTGGGTTTTAGTATTAATTTATATGACCTCTTTATGCACTGAAGATATTAATAATCTAATATAATTGAAAAATTTCCCAAGGTTTTTTTTTCTTCTTTTTTTTTTAACATACCAGCATTTAAGATTTCTGAGTACTCAAACTTCATTTCATTGCATATGTTCATTACTGAATTGCATGTTATCGTTAATCTTTAGGGCATATTGTTAACATTGTGTTTACATATGTTTATGTTGGAGGCACATATCAAGGCATTTAGTTATCAGCTTCATGCAAGGCTTAAGTCCTAGTTTAGCTTACCTGTGTCAGGGTAAATATCTCTATGCAGTAATATTGTATATCTCTCCATGAACAAACAGCTTTAGGTGGTAAGTATTAGTGACAATGGATGAAACTAATAGTTAAGAAAGGCTGAAGTGCTAGGCATAGAGGCCAATTATTTATTTCTTTTGAGAATTTTAGGAGGTTCTGATTCTATATTTCTGCCATTGAAGTAAATTAAATCAAAAGAATAAACTTGATTTGCTTTGGGGAAAAAAGGCCCAATATAATCAAATAAATGTCAGCTCCAAATACAGTTGTTGGTAATGTATTAAGTTCAACCCTAATCTCTGAAAGAACAAAGAGAAAACAGTATGTTTATGTTAAGTCTTTCATGATTCTTAATAGATTATCAAATATTTCTGTCTGTAGGATACAAAAGAAGTCTCCTAATCTCAAGTCATTCCTTTATGTATTTGAAAAACTCTCAAAAGTTCACAAAGGAAATTAACCTTTTATTCAAAATTAACTTTGAAGTTTGAACATGAAGTGCAAAGTGTGTATTCTGACCTGTTAATTAGAAAATCACTGTTAAGAGGAAACTGATAAAAAGACAATAATCGACTTTGCACATAAAACCTAACAGTGAATGTGTGACAGGATCAATCACCTTCCAGGTGGGCATTATGTAGGCCCTGATGTCTCTTTTAAAACTAATGAAAAATGGGGTGGGTGGAGGGAAAACTTACTAACTGCCTGACTACTTTTCCACATTTAATGCAGTAGCCACTTCTACCTGTTACTGCAATGCACTGATTCTACAGGTATAATCCCAGCATCTAATACAATATACCTACTGAAAAACACAATAAACTAACTCCAATAGCATGTAACATGAAGGGACTGCTAGATACAATAGAAAATGGAATTACTTAGTAGAAAGAACATCTACTTTATACACCATTAAGATCTGTGTTAACTCTGGATTCTAGCCTTAAATTGTATTTGATGATGAGTATTGCCAAGTCCCTTTAGGCCACCATTACTTTCTTCATCAGTTACACCAAGTGATTTTATTGACTTAATGTCATTTTAAGCTCCACAATAAAAGAAATGAAATTGGCATACATTGGGATTATATTTATAGATTTTCATAATGCAGGAATATTAAATAATACTTTTTCTAAGATATGTTGAATTGCAAATGTTCCCATGCAATGTGACGATGTTCCTCTCCCACCATAATTTGATATACTCTCTGTAAGGCTAGCTTTCAAGCTCTTTGGGGTATGTCCTCTTTGTCTCCAAGCATGTAACATAATGTCATTGCTTATAGCACACAAAGATCAAATCCAGAATAGCACATCTATAACAGCATTTATTCAAGTTTTTAGGAGAGTCGTAGGTTATGTGGGAAAGAGAGTAAGGCTGCGGGGTCCAGTTGGGGCGATGGTGCAGATTTCAAAGGTAACTACCTTCAAATGTCCAGGGAGTCAAAAGAAGTATTTTAACACTAGGATTAAGTTGGGCTCAGGATTAAGTCCTAGTCACTTTTTGAGTGTGGCCTTCATCTTAATTTCTCTATTTCCTACAATTCAGAACATAATAGGTTTTTCAGTTAAGATTAAATGAGAATATGTAAATACATTTTTGGATTAAAAGTGAAATAGGATTACCACTCACTATTTCATTGCGTAACATATGTGTTTAAGCTCGTAGGTTCAAACCAGTTGTCATTTACAACTCTGCTACTCGCTTTTCTCTCCTGTATAATGGGGTCAAAGGACTAATCTTGGAATTAAATGAATTAATATACCAAAGCGCTCGCCAGTGTCATTCTTGGTGCACGTCAGACTTAACAAAATATCCTGAAGGCACTGTCCTACTAACTTCTATACCCTTACACGGCTCCCAATAAAATAACAGCGCCAGCACTTTTTAAAATAAGTCAATTGATAAAAAATTATTATTATTTTAAATAAAACAATTCTCTTAAGCAGCGGTCGCTCGGAAGCCGGACGTGGAAAACCGCAACAGCGGACCAAGGCGCGAACTCCACTACCAGCCCCCCACCACGCGACGACGGCGATTCGTCAAATGGAGCAAAGTCCTCTGGGAAGTGTAGTCTTTAGGCTCCGAAAGGGAACTCAGCTACAGACCGAAAAGCCAGGAAGCTGGGGACAGCAGTGAAGGGTGAGAGGTATTGGGTAACTGAAAAGTGTCGGGAGCCACAGAGGAGGGTTTAGCCGCTCACCTGAGTCTCCCAACACCAGTACCTTCACCCGATCCAGGGACGCCATCTTGCCACTGCTTTCGCTGGGGTCAACGCCTGTTCCGGGATTCTAGGCCAATCACAGCGGGACAGGGAGGGCACGGCCTTCAATTTCATTGGTCGGTTGCAGTGTGACTCTCTTGATTGAAGGCTAACCTATGCTGATAGGCTGGTCTGGTTAAAGGTAGCGAGTGGTTTCCTACGCTGGTCGCAGGAATAAGACGTTTTCTTTGTCGCACAGTGGCGTGGGCTTGTTTAAGCCGGTAGTTCAGGTGCTGAGGGAAGCTGTAGTGGGAGTGTTCGAGGATTCGCTTCGGTAAACCTAATTCCCTATTCCTTGTTCCCTGTGGCCCGGCGTCGTTTTTCACAGCTTCTCCTTTTCGCTCCGCTCTTAACTGTCCCCCTCTCCCTAGCCACCTTTTATCTTTAGTCTTCCAAAGAACCATTGACCCCGGAGCGGCCCGTTTGCGACCTCGGGTAGGACGGCTGTGGCTGCGCCGAGTGTGGCCCTGGACCCAACAGGAAGAGACTGAGGGAATGTGGGGTCTCGGGGTCTCGCAGTGGGGAGGATTGAACACTACTGAACGCAGCTTGTGGAGGGCCGCGGGGTCCCAAGGTTTCCCGGTAGTGTGCCGCTTTACGTGAAGGCGTGGCGCGTGCCATGAAATACAGTGACTGAGAAAACTGCAGGTATACGTGTGGAATCCAAGTTCTTCTGGAACTGAGCAGTGGTGTGCTGGACGCCCTGCATTTATTCCTCTTTTATTCTCTACCCAGTCGGCATAATCTTTCACAGTCGCGAATTTGATCTAGTCATATCTTGCTTAAAACCAGTCTAAGAAAAAGATAGTGAAGAGTCTGCCTTCTTTTGTGGAAGAAGTGAATCATGGGGAAGCTGGCAGGGTAGGCATGTGGGAAGAACACGTGCATAGCATTGAAAGTTTTATGTAAGCACTTGACTAGATGCTAGAAATTAATTGGTGAGCAAGATGAAGTCCCTGGACTTGGACATGGAGAAAGTACTAGAAGGGGAACAGCTATGGAAACATATGAAAGGAGGTCATTCTGTGCTACTGTAGAGAATCTGGGACGCCTCTGAGGAAATGTGACTCGAGAAGGATGTGACTTGAAGGACAGTTAGGAGAAAATGGTTTGGGCTTAGCTGTGGACACAAAGTGAACAATAGGTGCAAGTAGAGAAAGCCCGTGTGGCTCTTGCAGTCCTGAGTATGCCAGTGTGCTGGATATGAGGCTTACAAGGGTAGACGTGGAGCAGAGTGTTTTTTCAACTTTGTTTCTCCAGTTCCATGCCTGGGGCCTAATAGTCCTAAATGTGTGCATAATTAGGATATACGTGAGCCTGGACTGAGTAGGGAGGTAGTTGAAGCTGGGAAATGACTGATGAACTATGAAATAAGAAAAGGAAAGGAGGGCATTGAGAGCACACATTCAGCTGTCTCCAGAGACCAAGCTTCTTCCCTGTCTAGACTGTCAACTGCTGTTCAGCTTCAGCTTGTTCCTATGTGAGGACATGGTCAGACATGGTCTCCTTCCCCCCCCCCCAACACACATTTCCAGTTTTCCAGAGGAGCTGGAAGTTGAAATTTATGTGAAGTCATGATTTTTAAAATGTTGACTAATTTTTTTGGACAACTAATTTAGAAAATGTTCATAACATTCTTTGGGTGAAACAATGTATATGGCTAATCTTTGCATTTCATAAGTAACTTAAATGCAGCGATTGAGTAAGGAGATTGAGCATTGAGTGGGAAAGGGGAAGTGGTGGAGGAGAGAAGATGGTGATCAGGAAGGAAGATTTCAAAATACAGAGATTTGAACAAGATGGCTCAGCTTGTTCTTGTTCCTGAGCTCTAATTTTATTTGTCAGGCTACTTGCTGGGCCATCATTAGAGCATTAGCATATGGTATTTTCTCAAAGGCATGCTACTAAAAGTAAATGTCTCTTTTTTTTTTTCCAAACACTGGTTCAGGTGTTACCACTTGTCATTGTACTACTTTTCCTAGTTACAGTGACTCAAAGCAAAGAGCTGTTTAAGATTTTTCCTATTCTGTTTCCTAAGTACTGTTGGGTCCTTTTGCTTTTGGTCTTTTGGTTCTGTGATTAAATTACATTCATCTTGTCCTTGGAATTTTTTGCTTTCTTCCTGAGTTTCAGTTTTATTTCTACAGCTCCTTATACTTCCATAGTGCCTCCACCTTTATTTCAGATCATTCTTCATATTGCTCCAAGACTCAATTTTATAAATAAGGGATTTTATTATGAATGCCATACTTAAATTGAACTCCTCCTGCTAGTCCTGAAAGCAGAACACTTTATGTTAATTACTTTATTTAATTTATACATCATCTGTATGAAAAAGGCATTGTTAATCACTTTTTATATATGCAGAACTTAAGGCTGAGTATTTACTGAGGTCTGTTGGATGGCAGAGTCCTCATGACACTCAATTACTGTCATCTCTAGGACTTTAAGTAGAGTGTTTGAGGCAAAGAAAACAGGCTAAATAAGTGGCACAGGTACCTCTCCATTGTGAAATGTGTGTTGGTAGGGTAAGTAGTTAGGGACTTTTGGTGTGTATTGCTTTTAAAATTAGTTTAGTGCCTAACCTGCCCCCTCCCCCCAGACCAGTTGAAACAAAACTTCTGGGAGTGGGGTTCAGGATTGGTAGTCTTAAGATGCGACCAGATGATTCTACTTTACAACCTGGGTTGAGAATCATTGATCTAGTATATGGGGTAGGAGAAAGGAGAAAACAGTAATAGAAAGCAATATTGGAAAATGAGTTATGTTGACATTTGTCTGTCATTCTTTGGTCTTTGGATGTTTCTGAAGCCATAATGTAGTCTGTCTATTGTAGAACATACAAAACAACAAAAAAACAGAACTAAGTTTAAGTACAGTGTATATACCAAATTGGAAGGGAAAACACTATGTCTAGGAATATGCCATGGTTCTATGGCATTCTTAAGCCCTGGGGAGTGACCTGAAGGCCCTAGGACCACAGGCTTGGATTGAGATGTTACTTTCTTATTTTACCTTGTGTATAGTTAGGCTTGAGATTCATCTATATCTTTTATTGCAATTGTAAGAATCTTTTCCTTTGTTACGGTAGAGCCTTATGTTTTTTCCCCAAAATGTGTGTGTATATTGGTTATTTAGGAATTTTTTAACAATATAGGATTGTGGCTATAAAAATATTATAAAAGGAATGTTAAGTCTGAAAGTATTGATAATAATTTCAAATAAAAGGTTCAGTTGAAACTAGTTTTAATAGCAGAATATTATTCTTTGATGATATAATTCAGTGGCATATCTCTGTCAGAAATTTCTCTACTCCATAAGGGAATTTCACCATATCTAAAATGTTGTGGATAATCTGGCTACTTTTAATTTGGAATGTATCAAATTGATATAGAAACTCTCCTTGCTAATAAGTCCCTACTACCACTACTTACATTCTCATTTATTAATCACAACATCCCCTTCTTGGAGAATAAATTGTCGCTTGAAGTTGTTTAAAGGATTTGGTTATGCTCACACAGCTACCAAACACAGGATGTCTAGAGCGCAGGTTTTTTGACAGTATAAGTGTAAGAATGACATGCCAGCTTGGACTTTGAGAGGACAGCTTTCTGGGCCATGCCATGGACATTAGATCTATTTAGCTTCTCCTTTGACTTATAATGGATTCAGCATGTAGGGTATGTTGGTCTGTTTTCCCTCCCCGTTTTATTCTTTTTTAAAGACTGGGGTTATTTACTTAACTGTCAGATTTAACTTTTCAGGTTGGTAAAGCTGTCTGGATCTAAGGGTTAATTTCTTTCAAATTTATAATAGTTAGATTTTTGTCAAATGTTCTAACGGGCAATTACTTGTACTTTATTGATTTGTTGTGATTTTATTGTGAAAGCATGACTGAGTCAAACATCTTATAGTATTAATAGAAAATTAAACTCAAGAAATAAAGACACTTTAAGTATGTGTCAACAGCTGGGTTCCTCAGGGGGTTTCCAAAGATCTATATCATTAAGAATTGTTAGTACCTCATTGAGCATTTCTGTGTTTCTTGTTCTGAAATAACATGGATTTAATGTAATATATCATTGTTATGAATAACAAGTCACTCTTTATGAATCAAGAGCACTGTTGGCCATGAAAGTAAACATGTAGGAAATATGTCAAGCTTTTTAGCTATGATCTTGTGTACTCCGTTGAATCAAATCCTGTTCTTCCCTGTTAGATGCCTAGGTATTAGAAGCCTTTTAAGATAATGTTTGAGTACCTTTAGGCACTCCAAGAATAGTAGTAGGTAATGGCTAGTGGGTTGATTTTTCTACATTTAAAATGATTACCATGTCTTCTTCCCTACTAATCCTGTTTTGTTTTGTTTTGTTTCTGAATTTAGTATATTTAAAGTTGAAGGTTGCTGCTAAACTAAAGATGGCAGACCCAGATGTCCTGACTGAGGTTCCAGCAGCATTGAAGAGGTTAGCCAAGTACGTGATTCGGGGGTTTTATGGCATTGAGCACGCTTTGGCCTTGGACATTTTGATCCGGAACCCCTGTGTGAAAGAGGAAGACATGCTGGAGTTGCTCAAGTTTGATCGGAAGCAACTTCGATCAGTTTTGAACAATTTAAAGGGAGACAAATTCATCAAATGCAGAATGAGGGTAGAGACTGCTGCAGATGGGAAAACCACTCGCCATAACTACTACTTTATCAATTATCGAACTCTTGTTAATGTGGTAAAATATAAGTTGGACCACATGAGAAGGAGGATTGAAACAGATGAGAGAGATTCCACCAACCGGGCTTCCTTCAAATGTCCAGTCTGTAGTAATACTTTCACAGACTTAGAAGCTAATCAACTCTTTGATCCAATGACAGGTGAGACTTATTCCAGATTATGAATCAATTAAAATATGTGCCCTTTTTCTTTTAATTTCTCTAAATTTTAAACCAATCATACCTTATCATAAAAGTGAATGGATTAATGTGACTCAGCATGCAAGTAGTTTTGCTATCCTGGTTGGCTGTCTGTAGTACTTTGAGAATCTTTTACAAAACCTTTCTCCTTCACAAGAGAGTACACTCATTCATGGGGTTTCCTGCCAGTGACCCTTCTGCTTCTGCCCCCATCTCTACCCCTGACTTATACTTGTGGCCTAAAGGATTAATTTTTTTTTTTATACCACTTTGAGGCTGTTCTGACAACTTTACTTTTGATCTCTTCTTTTAAAAAATATTTGAGCACTAACCAGTCACTGTGCATAGTTTTAACAAAATGTCTTTGAACATTTTGTTAGTGGAAGTATAAAGTGCTCTCAGGAGTACATAACAATGATGTATAATCTGGATTTGAGGAAAGCCAAAGTTAACAGCTGAGAGCCAGATGAAATAAGAGGGGAGTCCTTTCCAAATTAATTAAAGGATAGATATTATTGTCTCAGTCACATATTAATAAAACAGGGTTGGCAACAACATTAACTCACCTCATTTAATCCAACATTTGGTTTTAAGAATTTTTCTTAACACAATTTACAAAGCATGTATTTTCCAAAAATACAATGTATCTAGCATTATCATGAGAAGTTTTAACTTTATCATGCTGGATTATGGAGAGTTATTTTTAAACTAGAAAAGAGACTAGTTTTAATAATTACTCCATGGATTGATTTTGTCTTATTTTCTAGAGATAAAAATATATGTAAGGAGTCAATGCTCTTAAATTATTCTTTTGTTATGTTGGAATTCAAGAGCATAGATTACTTTTCAGTTTTTTTTTTTACATTTTATAATTTATAACTATAGAGAAGTTTCTAATTTTAAACTTTTCATGTGAAACCTTTTGTTTTGAAAAATTATATATTTGTATATGTGCTTAATTTTCTAATATTTGTGTATGTTATGTATGGTTCATTCTAAAGAATTTAAAAACCTGAAATGGGAAATAATCCCACCATCAATTTAGGTTATTAGCAAATAAAACCAAAGAGAGCCTGTAACATTTATTTATTCTTATTGTGAGGTGTTTATTTTGGGTGAAAAATCATTTAAAGAATTCTCCTTGTCTGAACCTACTTATTTATACCCCGGAGGGGCTTAACTAGGAGAGATCTTGATTATAAGAAAAGATTAACTATCTTGGTATAATTGCTTGAGTATACTACAGAGGAAGGTTTTAGACTGTATCTGGAGCTCTTTCAAAATAGACTAAACGAGTCTTGTGATTTTTGCCACTTACTCGAACATATTTCTTAAAAGAGCTCTGGGTTTTGGTTTTGTGATTCTCTGCAGATGTTGGTGTTACAGTGGTCCTGTCTTCATCACTCTTGACTGCAGTGGAAGGTGTTATCCAGTCCCTCAGAGAGGATAATCAGAAGTAATATGCTTCTACTGTATTTATTCATCATTTTGAGTCTCTTAATTTTATGAAACTTTCTAAAAGGAGGTGATTCCCCTATTTATATATCAGTTTTTAGGCAATTGATCCATGATGCTTTTTGAATTTTACCCAGGGTTAGTGTCTGAACAAAACTAGCTATAATCAATTGCCTACAGAAGAGCTAGCCTAATATCCAAATATAGCCAGAGTTATATGAGTCAGTGAGTTGAGATAGGATAAAAAAGAGCTTGGAAACTTTACGAAAGAAAGCTACAGCTGAGACAGGTATGGTGTGTCCAGTCTGAACAATGTATTTAACATGAGAGTTATGGTTAGCATGAAGTTAGAAAGGAGGAGGTGCAGGAAAGCAAGAAAAAGTCACTTAAACTTGATGTTACTCAGAGGAGGGTATCCTGACCATCTTGGATGCTATTATCCAATTAGCAGTTTTTCCCCTATATGAAGCTTGAGTTATCTTGATTGAAAATTTTATAAGTGACCTTTTTCTGAGAATCTACTTGACCTTTGTTGAGTTCCCTTTCAGGACAAAATATGCTGCTTAGTTCATATATTAGGCCCCAGTCTACTTATCAAGTTTTTTTGTTGTTGTTGTTTTTGTTTTTCTTTTACTAATACCTTCTCTTGAGCTATACATTCTCCTGAGAAATCTTTTGTCTTTTTCTCTTTGTTTGCTTCCTGTTTATTCAGTTTTGATTCTTTCTCTCTGCATTTATTTATCTAGGAAACATTTGGTGTATGTAGCAGGGGAGGAGGTAACTTCTCCTGTAATGTTTAAATACAGTCTGAATTGGTAGGCTGCAGTTTTCATTCTAACCTTAGTTTTGTACAAATGTGTCTTATTTCCAGATTGCTATAAAAAATTGATTTTTTTAAAAACCATATTTCTGACTAGATGATGGGGACAACTTTGGGCTCTTTCCCCATTTCTTTCTCCACAGTTCTTAGGTTGGATTATCTTTTATCTTAGCAATTGGGGGAACATTCAGGAATTAGACTGAAGATTTCTATTTCTCTGATAAGAAGTTCTGTCACTCGACAAAGAGCAGTGATTTCCTGAGGAGCACCTGAAAATTCTGGACCTGAGATCTGTGTCCAGCAAGGATCATTTTATCACCATTAATTCATGCATGGGCCAGTGTCTTCCTTTTTTAGTTTGCAGCTTTTTCTCCCTACCCTATCTTTCCTCTCCTAAAGATTGTAGATTTCCTCCATACTTGCCATTCAGATTTTGCATTTGGTGTTCCTGGGTTCAGCTCTGTAAATGTTTGATACTTGGTATGTATAATTTTTTTCATTATTTCATTAATACAGAATAGCTTAGTCTTTGCCTACTAGTCCATAGTTTCAGAAGCTTCATCGGAAAAAAGCAACTATTTTAGTACTGAAATATGGGTATTTATATAATCAAAACAGAGACAGTAGGACATGAAATCCTTCAAATCAGCAATATAGCTTCTTGTGCTTCAAAAGTACATGTTTTAGATTTAGCAAGCTTTCTGACAATGTAAATAGACTTAGTATTTCTATTTTAGTTTAGCCATGGGTGATACATAGTTAGTGACACTTCTAAGTTAAGCTCAGCAACATGTCTTACATTTTTTTTAGTTGTTAAGGTTAGATAATATGGAAATAGCTTTATGTTTTCCATTTTTATTTAAAAATATGCAAGCATAATATCAGAAAATTTTGTGAAGAGAAAAAAATCACCCACAAAACTACTAGCCTTTTATGTATTACCTATAATTGTGATCATAGCCTAAAACAGTTTGTGTTCTCTTGGTTCTTTAATGTATCAAACTGTTTCTGTTTAGTGTTCAAAATATGTTTTAATAGTTTTATGATTTCCCCTGTTTTCCTTTGTACCCCTTCTGGGTACTTTAAGTTTATCTATTTTTTTCTGGTACCAATATAAGATATTTTGAATACCTTTGTACATATCGTATTTTATTTCTGCTTAAGTTTTTTTTAAGAAATGTACAAAGATATTCAAAATATCTTATTGGTACTTAAGAATTCTCAGTAGTAGACATATTGGCCGAAAGAATGTAGTCTTACAACTTCTGTAAAAGCATATATGGTACTGTAGTTTTAATGGGGATTGAATAAAATAAAATTGTTAGGTGGAATAAAAAATAGTTTGGAAGACCTAAATTACTAAATTTATCTAGAGTGCACAAAATCCCATTTTAGGTAAACTCTGTGATAGAGAAATTTTGAATTTTTGAAAAAGGAATCATAAATCTTTAATAAAGTCTTAAAAATAGAAATTTAGAGATTATCTGGTTCCACTCCTCAAATGATATGTGTGGCTGCTACATATACCATGTCTGTGTTCTTGGATTTGGATGATCTTATGTAAGTCTAGGGATATATAAATTGCTAGGATGCTTTAGACTGATTAAGGAAGAGTATGATAGCATTCATGGAGATTCAGCTTACTTTGTGGCTTCCAGTGAAAAGACTTGGAAATACTAGGTTTAAGGATTAGCATAAAGAAATCTTTAATAACTAAACTATGTCTGTAATAAATAACTCTTAAACATTACCACTAAAGGGAATAGATCTCTAGTGATAAGTTCCTAATTACTTGGAATATTCAAGTAAACTTGGTATCTACTTGATATTTGTATGTAAGCATGGGGTTAGATCATGGGTCCTTCTTGATTTATGACTTCAAGTAAAGCTTTTTGGTTTAGATAAATAAACTGTCTGAATCCTTATCATTGAAATTTTTTTGCATTCCTTTTTTGTAACATTTACAAACTATGAGTCCTACATTTGTGAGACTCTCAAGACTTATTAATAATGTTTGCCATCTTAGGTCAGACCACTTTTCCTGTCTTCATCTCCAAATATTTAGGACAGGAGATATCTTATAAGCAGTATTTTCAATCCCTAAAATGCTAAAAGTAGAGACAAATACAAAAAGAAATCTAGGATCATTTGCTTAATTGCTGATTCCTCAGTCATCTTTGGAATCTTGCCCAGAATGAGTTAATTAGAAAATTATAGAAAAACTGAAAGCTGTAGATTTGGGTGATGATGGTAAATGTGGAAGAGGTGAATATTAGAATAAGTTAAATGAATATATGAAAACAAGTTATGGAAACATAGTAAGGAATATGTGCCTTCCCTCATCTACCCTTCTCTATCTCCCAAACCTTTAGGTCTGCTTCTTAAATTTTGCCACTGATGATCTTGAAAATTTGAGTGCTTCTTTTTTTTTTTTTTTTTAATTTTTGTGTTTCTCTCTCTTTTTTTTTTTTTTTTTGTATTTTGGTGCTGACATAAAAGAAGACTTTTTGTGAAGAGTTGCTTTTGCCTTTTAGTTTTGATACTGGCATACATGTTTAGTTGATGTTGTCTTTCAAATATTCACATCAAAACCAACTTTTTGCTTGTCTACTACATGTTGAGATGAATTTGATTTAAGAATAACTTAGAGAATTTATTGCAAGTGAGTATTCATCCAAGTACCCTC